CAAGGCGGGCAGGCTAAAAATATACGTTTTCCCATCGGAATTTGACGATTTGTACCTCTTTGGCGTGCGCTCGGGGCCCTCTTGGGGCGTCTTTGCGGCCTCTTGGATCGTCGTGGAGCCCCCCCGGAAGGCTTCGGGCCCTCGTGGGCCGTCTCGGGACCCACTGAAGCCGTCTTGCAGCGCTCTTGGACGGTCTCGGACCCCTCTTGAGCGCTTCTGGGACCAGCCTGAGCGATTCGGCCCCGTGGTGGCGCCGTAAAGGGGCGATTTTGTGTACACGAGGCCCTGTGAGCCATTCTCGCACGCGCTTCCACTGGCCATGTAGGAGAGATGACGTCGGGCTCCAGCTTCGCCTCCCGCATCTCGCTCAGCAGCGCCAGCGCTCGTTGCCACTGCTCGCCCTTCTCGCACGCGCTGATCCCAGCGCTGTAGCTGATGCCGTCGGGCTCCAACTTCGCTTCCCGCATCTCGCTCAGCAGTGCTAGGGCCGGCTGCCATTGCCCGCCCTTCTCGCACGCGCTGATCCCAGCGTTGTAGCTGACTATGGCTGACCCGTGGACTCCGTCCACGACATCTTTCTGGAATGGTTCTCGGAGGAACGGCGCAGATTGTACCGAAAATCTACAAACACACGGGGCGGCCGGGACCTGCGCGGCGGCCGGAACGGCACGGGACCGCGCCTTCGTGATTCGAGCTCTTGCAGTTGCGCATCCTGCAGGCCCTCAGCTTGGCCCAGCGGACTTGGCTCGTTCACCCCCCCCTCCTATGAGGGCAGTTCTGAAGTCCACCCCACGGGCGATAGTGCGTGTCCGAAACGTCGAAGCCCATCTGAGGCGTCTCAGGAGCGCTCGTGGAAGGGCTCGGGAGGCCATCGGGGAAAGCCACCGAAAGCGCCGGGGAGGCTCGCAAGGATCTACAGGGAGGGCCCAAGAGAGCTTCAAGAAAATTTGAAATCCAGTGAACTCTTAAGAGAAACCGCTGTTGGGTCGGCCATCACCTCCAGGCGCGCCTTGATGGTGCGATCCAGTCGCATCACCGCCAACGGGAGGGTTTGTTCGCCATGTCCCATTCTGTTCGCCCAGAGGGTCTGTGGAGGCCTTCGGGAGAACAGAACGGGACAGGGCAAGGAATGGGGAAGACATGTCCGAATCTCCTGGGCCCCCAGATGCTCGTCCGAAGAATGCGGAGAGGTCCCAGGGTCATATCAGTTGGCTGCTGTCCAAGGGGTCCGGTCTGCTCGGCCCGAAGAGTTTGCCAAGGCCCCTGGGGGAACAGAATGGCACAGCATATCGGGCAAAGGGGGGCGGTAGCTGGCCTGTCAGACCCGGCGTTCGTCTTCTGCCCAAGCGGCGCGGGGCCCACGGGCCCCAGGGTTGGCGTCCCGCTGGGATTCCTCTTGTTCGCCCGCAGGGTTGGAGGAGGCCTCCAGGCGAACATAATGGGGCAGGACAATGAATGTGGGAGACTTGTCGCAAGCTCCCAGCCCCCCCAAGTGTGCGCCCGAAGGGTGTGGGGCCGCGTTGGCTCCCTCAAAGGGCCGTCTTGGAGCCGTCTAGGCCCGTCTTGAGGGCGCCGTTTGCCCTGATGGGGCCGTCTTGGTTCGTCGTGGGCCCCTCCTGAGCGCGTCCGTAGGCCGTCCTGGGCCCATCGGGGTCCTCGTGGGGCTGTCTTGGAGCCGTCTGGGACCGTGAGGAGGCCGCCTTGGAGTCGTCTTGGGCCCCTCCTGTGCGCCTCCTTGGGCCGTCCTGGGCCCAGCAGGGGCCGTGTTGGCACCCTCTTGGGGCTGTCTTGGAGCCGTCTTGAGCCGTCGCAGCGCGCCTTGGGGTGTGCTGGGTCCGTCTTGGCCCGTCTTGGGGCCTTCCTGGGCGGTTCCTCGGACCCTCCTGGGACTTTCTGGGGCCTCTTGGTGCATCGGACCGCCGAAACGGCGGGAAACGCAAAGGGTGTAACAGTAAACAATGGAAAATTAACGATTTTTGCCAGCTGGGACTCTCTTGCCATCGTGGCCCGTCTTGAGGCCCCGAACGGGCGCGTCCTTGGGCCGTCCTGGGCGCACCCTCCTGGGACCGTCTTGGAATCGTCTTGGGCCGTCTTGAGCGCGCCTTGGGCCGTCCTGGGCCGGTCTGGGGCCGTGTTGGCACCCTCGCGGCGAGGAAGCTCGGAGGCGGGCTCGAGGCCTCTTCGGGGCCATTTTGGAAGCTGTTGGGGCCTCTGTAGGGGCCTCGTTTGGGCTCCTTGGGAGCCTCCTGGGGCCTCTTCGGGGGATTCTTGGCGGCCCCTTGGGGCCTCTTGGGGGCCTGTTTGGGCCTCCTGGCGCCCTCTTGGGGCGGAAGGCTCGGATTTTCGGTCCGTGGTCCCCCTCTTGGCCCCCTCTTGGGCCTGTCTTCGGGCCATCGTGGGCCGTCTTGAGCGTCTCTTGGGTCGTCTTGGGGCCCTCTTGGGCTGTCTTGGGGCGCTCTTGGAAACCTCTTGGGCCGTTCTGGGGCGCTCTTGGAGGCCTCTTGGGCCGTCTTCGAGCGTCGGAAAACGGAAAAGGCGAGAAGGCCAAAATCCTTTCGTTTTTGAGGCCCAAAACCGTCCAAAACCTCCTGAGGCGGTCCCCTCGTCCGCCCCCCTCGCTTCGAAGCAGTTTTTAAGCCCCGTGGCACCTCTTGGGGATCTCTTTTGGGCTCCTGGGGGCCTCTTGGGCCTCCACTGGATTCGCTGCCCTCGGTCGGCAATCGTCGATCCTACGACGACTCTCCCCAACGGAGAAACATCGAAGGCCCTCGGAGCGTCCAACATTGTTCTTTTGTGCCTTCGATATGCCGGTCGCCTCTCGTCCGCCCCCCCCCCTCCTGGAAGCAATTCTGAAGCCACTTAGGGCTTCGTGGGGGCCGTTTGGGGATCTCTTGGGGCGTTTTTGCCTGCGATGTGCCTGTCGCCTCTCGTCCGCTCCCCCGCTCCTGGAGGGAATTCTGAAGCCACTGAAGGCTTCGTGGGGGCCGTTTCGGAGCCTCTTCGGCCTTCTTTTGGGCCTCCCGGGGGGGCTCTTAGGGCCCTCTCGGGCCGTCTTGGGTGCCTCTTGGGCCGTCTTGGGGCCGTCTGAGACCCGCCTCGGCGCCTCTTGGGCTGTCTTGGGCCGTCTTGGGCCGCTCCTGGGGCCGTCTTGGGTGCCTATTGGGCCATCTTGGGCGCCTCCTGGGCCGTCCTGGGGCCGTCCTGGTGCGTCTTGGGACCGTCTGGGGGCCCTCCTGGCCCGTCTTGGGGCTCTCTTGGGGTCCTCTTCGGCCGTCTTGGAGCGGCCGGGGGGACTTCTTGGGCCGTCTTGGAGCGTCGGGAAGCCGAAGAGGCGAGGAGGCCGAAAACATAGAAAAACACATTAGAAACTGAGTTAATGAGATTTTGAATGGTAGTTTTCGGTTTGCACGTTGGGCGCTTGGGTGGGTGTGATATAGTGTTCGCCCGACGGGCCTCGGGAGAGCTCAGGGTGAACACCACGCCACGAGCTCGTATGCCGTCGCATATGGGCTCAAGCACGCATAGCGCGGGGTTACGTTCTACTGCACCTACTCTTTCGGGCTCGCGCGCCATGTCGACGGGCGCGCCTGAGGAGAGCAGCCGGTGGTGCTCCTGGGCTTGCCGCCTGCGGGCCGTCGCCACCCTCAGTGTCCTGAGCGCGGCGCTGCTGGCCATGGCCCGCTACGCCGACACCTGGCGCAACGTCCTGCTCTGGGCGTTGCTGGGCTTGACGAGTGGGGCTGCCGCCGCGGCCTGCCTCACGAGATTGAAGTGCCCCCGCCGCGAGACCCCTGCCACGGAGAGCGCAGAGGTGGTGCGGCTCCGCGAGGAGCTGGCATTGCTGAGGGCCACCATGGCGGCCGGTGGCGCAGCTCCAGTTGCTGCTGACGAAGCCGACCTCGCCGACGGAGGAGGGGTCGCGGGGGACGCGGACCAGTCCCCGCCCTTCGGCATCCCTGGTGCAGCGGCTGCTGGCGCTGCCCCGAGCCCCGGAGCTGGGGCGGCGGCGCCTACCTATGCGCCTGCCGGGGCCTCCGCTCTGGGCGACCTCGCGGGCTGGGCAGGTCTGCCCCTGCCCTCGGCCCCCGCGGCCCCCCCTCCTGGCCTGCACCATCCAGGAGCAGCGGGCGCGCAGCCGGTACGAGGAGCGGCAAGCGCGAAGACGGCCCTCATGACGTTCGGGGGCACCAGCTCGGTCGATCCCTACTGGGCCTCCAAGTTCTGGAGCCACGTCGCCAAGATGGAGCTGCAGGGCGAAGTGAGCGAGCCGGTGGTCAGGCTCCTGAGGGGCCACGGCTACGTGGGCAACGGGACGGTGACCGCGCCCAGGGTCGCCGAGCTCGCGCGCGGCCTGGACGCCCTTGACCAAGCCGCGCCACCGGCGCTGGGAGGCACAGCAGGCGACCCTTTGGCTTTGGGGAGCCTCACGTCGGCGGCTGGCGGTAGCCAGGAGACCAGGTGGGGAGCCTCGCTCCCCCCGGACCTGCAGCGGGCCGGGGCGGAGATCTACCGATCGACGAGGGCGGAAGGCTGCACTTCTGTCAGGGACTGGCTCTCTTCCCGGTATAGCGGAAGCAGGTCCTCGCCAGTCTGGACCGATTTGTGGACGATGGCGACCACAGTGGACTTTGCAATGAAGGACTGCGGCGCGGAGGAGGCGTTGATGAGGTTCCTGGGGACGAACGACCTGATGGAGATCTCTCTCAGGCGCCTGGCGGCCTATATGTACGAGAGCCGCTCAGGGGACCGCACTGGCGCGCTCCACATGCTCGGGGTTTCCCCTCCGGGCAGCCAGACCGACGCGGCGCCGAGCTGGCTGGTGCAGGCCGCGACGGCGCACAGCAAGGCCGAGCACCAGCGCTCCGAGAGGGTGGCCGCCCAGGCCAAGCGCCAGGGCAAGGGCGACAAGGAGAAGCCCCCGAAGGCCCCGCCGAAGGGCCCGCCCCCCGCGGGAAGGGGCAGGCCCGCCGAGTGACAGGCGGCGGGCACCTCGGCTGGTGATGCAGCTGCCAGTCGAGGTGAGGAGCGCAGCCGCTGGGTCCCAAAGGCGATGCTGGAGGAGCCCCACGAGCTGCGAAGGCTGCTGGATGGCGCCTCAGGCGCCAAGCTGTACCCGATCCCGATGGTGGAGAAGCCGGGCCGCTCGGAGAGCATGTCCAGCCGCATCCGCCAGCGCTATTGCAAGAAGATGGCCTTGCGTGCTTTGGCTAATGAGTATATCCTTGCTCTAAACGCCATGTACCAGGGCACCGCCAGGAGCTCACCAGAGGCCGTCGTGAAGAGGAACGTCGGACGAAGTTACGGCCTCTACACCAGCGAGTCCATCGACTGGCTCTACGCGAGGCGGCGAGGATTCGCCAGGCGCGCCGGGGCGATTGCCCGACAGGCGCCCGTGCCGTACTAGAGTTGGTGAAGGAGTCGACGATTACCTACCAAGGAGTCCGCCGCAAGGCGGGACATGAAGCATTACGAGCTGATGCAGTTGATGAGCCCTGTGATCCTCGTCGAGTGCCTATGCTGTCCGCCCTGAGTGCTGAGGAGGCTGCTTTTTATGCTGAGGAAGAAAATGCGGTTGCAGCCCCGGATAGCCGGAGCCAAGTTTTGTTTCGAGAACTCGAGAGGCAGTACGGGTTTGTGGGAGGATCCGAAGTGGAGTATGCTCGTTATTTTCTTCGAAAGGATATGGCCCCAAATTTGTGGAGATTTGGAACTAGAGACGAAGTCAAAGCAGTGGCCGGTTTTTCGGTTGTGCCCAAGAAAGACGCCCCCAAACAAAGGAAAATCATTATGATGGTGGCTGCTAACTACATGTACTTGGACGTTCGTTCTCGTGAGGAGCACGGGCTCCACGGAGGTGCAGCACTCGCCAATGTGCATTTGCCAAGTGACGCGTTGTGTGCCGCCGCTTGTGACCAGAGCAATGCGTTCACTTCGGTAGAGGTTCCAGAGTGGATGTGGGCCTGGCAGGCGGTGCCCCCACTTCGTGCCGGTCTAGTCTGGGATGCTCTCCCCTGGGAACTTCGAGACAGAGTCTGTCCGGGAACCTGGATCTACCCCATGTGGAAGCGGCTCGTCATGGGCGGCTCCCACAGCGTGCACATTCTCATGAATATTAATATGACTTGCGGGGGGCGGACTCTGATCCGAAGTTGTGGGCTTCGGCGGGGCGTCTCGGAGGAGGATTTCGACGTTGACGAAGGGGGGAAGTTCTCGGGCAGGAGCGACGAGGTTTGGGCCGCCGACCAAGACTTCAGGAAGTCCAGGGACTTGAATGACCAGGTCACGAACCCGGGCACGGGCTACACGGGCGAGTCTTGGGTTCGGAAGGTCACAGAGGTCAAGTCGTCGGGTGTTAAGGTCTTCGTCGTCATGCATCTGTTCGCGGGTCCCCGTAGGCCTGGGGACGTGGAAGAGTGGCTGGGAGTTCTTGCGGCCCAGCGCGGGCTGGAACTGCTGGTGCTGTCCTGCGACCTCGCCCAGGATCCTCTTTGGGACCTCACGCTGCCGGAGACCTTCCAGAAGCTTTGGGGCCTGGTCGTTTTGGGGCACATCGACGCGATCCTGGGAGGGCCGCCCTGCTCCACCTGGTCCAGGGCCCGGTTCGTCAAGTTGCTGGGGGGCCCGAGGCCCCTCAGGTTCCGAGGCAAGTACGGTTGTGGTCGGCCCGAGGCCGAGCTGACGGGCCCCGAGAGGGCTCGAGTCCAGGAGTCCAACGTCCTGTCCCTCAACTTCCTGGCGCTCTGCGAAGGGGTCTCGTCGAGGGGAGGAGTCCATATACATGAACACCCAGAGGATCCTGGAGAGGAGCCGTATCCTTCGATTTATAGTACAGAGCTGACGTGCGCCATGGAGGAGCGCACCTCGGCTGTGCGTGTCAGTCTTGACCAGTGCATGTACGGCGGGCCAGCGAGAAAGGCTACCACGCTGTCCGGCACCGCCGACGGACTGCTGGAGGGTGAGTGTCGTTGCGATGGAAATCACCAGCATCAGAGGAGCACTGGACGCATGAGGGTGGAGAACGGGAGACAAGGTTTCTACGCCACCGCCTTGGCTGCCTACCCCTCCGGCCTCAGTGAGTTTCTGGCGTCGTGTGTCGCGCGGAGTTTCGTGCGTATGCTACGAGAGGAGCGTGAGAAAGGTACCGTTGTTCCTCAGCGTCCCTTGGCCGCCCGTCTGTCTCAGTGGCCCAGGCCCAGCAGTCAGGAGGGGGAGAGGGGCTTTCACGTACTCAACGAGAAGAGCGCTAGGATGCAGAACACCACCTTGATTAAGGGCGACCTAGGGTTTTACCTTCACATAGACGATGGTTTGATGATGTCCGACGGGGCCGACTTTGTGGGCTCCGAGCGGGCCGCCGACTTCTTCATGCATCGGGCCGCCGATGAGCTAGTCAACATAGGTTTCAAGGTCACGGACCGCAGGGAGTCTTGGGAGCTGGACAAAATTGTTGGCTACGAGGTTCAGAGTTCCCCCGCTCGGCTTCGTCTACCTACCCGTAAGGCTGCCGTACTCTATGAGGCCATGCTCTTCCTGGAGAGCCGTGCTTGGGTGTCCCTGGAGGCCGCCTCGTCACTCTTGGGACTTTGGGTGTGGGCTGCCCTACTGGCTCGTCACTGGTTGTCTGCCCCCCAACGCATCTTCCGCTTCGCTCACCAGGACGAGGGGCTCCCGGGGCGTCTCAGGTTTCGGAAGTGGTGGCCGAGTGCCTTGAGGGAGTGGAGAACCATGCGAAGGGGACTCATGGGGCGTATACGTGGACCTCGGGGCCCCCATCTCCAGGATCGTGCTGGCCACGGATGCCGAGGGCTCGAACGGCCTGGACTGTGGGGGCTTGGGCATGGTTGCTACCGCTCTCCCCGACCGGGGCGTTCAGAGGCTCTGGGAGGCCGGGGCCAAGCCGGGTTTCGCCCTCACGCGCATGGGCCACGAGAGGAAAGTTCTACAGAAGGGTTCCGGAGCTCTCGTACCCACCCTGCCCGTCTCCGCGATCCCGAAGGATTTCTGGGAGCTGTCCAGGTGCTGGGTCCCGGTCGCCGCGGGGAGGTGGAAGTGGGAGGAGCATATCACGGTCAGCGAGATGAGGTCAGTGATCTTGATGCTTGAGAGGGTCGTCGTGGTCGAAGGTTTCTTCCGCTGTAAGCTGATCTCTTTTGAGGACAACATGCCCGTTGCGTTTGCAATAGCCAAGGGGAGATCATCGGCGGGCCCCCTCGACTTCCCCCTGCGCAGGCGATGCGCGTTGTGCGCGGCGGCCGAGATTAGGCTGCTCCTCCCCTGGGTCGAGACCTGGCGGATGCCGGCGGACTGGGTCTCCAGGTGTAAGACATGGCAGGAGGTACTCGAGGGAGCGCATCAGGAGCTGCAGGACCAGGCCAGGACGGACCGCACCATCCAGAACTGATAGATGAACATGAGGAGGGGCGGGTCACGGCCGATACAGTTTTGAAGTACAAGGAGGCGGTAGTTCCCTTTTTGATGTGGTGTTCGCGGGGGGAAGGGAGCCATTCACCCCCGATCAGTGGGATGACGCACTGATGGATTTCAAGATGTTCGGGGGCTCCGAGGTGGTCGGCAAGGGGGTTTTGACTAAGTCTAAGTTCTCCATGCTGGTGGCCGCTGTGGAGTTCCGTTTTCCGCGTATGAAGGGGCGGTTGTGTCGAGTGAGAGCGGCCCTGAAGGGCTGGGACTACGCCCACCAGCCTCGGCACACGGTCCCGATGGTTAGCAACGTATGTGCCTGGATGCGCGTCCATTTTTGTGCCAGAGGTTATCCACGTCTGGGTTTCGGTATCGTGCTTCAGGGCAAGTTCGGGATGAGGCCTAGCGAGATGTTGGGGATTGAGCCTGATGACATCACCCTCCCGGAGGCCTGGGGCTATCCTAGGGGCTGCGGGCCTGTCGTGGTTAGTCTTGGGTTCGGGCCATGACCAAGGCCAAGAGGCCCCAGTCCGCGTCCTTCCTGGAGGAGAACGAGGGGCACCTCGCGGAGGGCCTCCGGCTGCTACGGCGCACTACCCCTGCAGGTGCTCGGCTGTTCCCGGTCTCGCTTCCGTCCTACCGAAACCTGATCAAGGCCGTCCAGGCTCAGTACTCCCTGGACGTCGGCTGGGGCCCCTACAGCCCCCGGGCTGGCTTCGCGTCGGAGTCGGCCGCTCTCGGGGTTCCCTTCGAGGCCATCCGGGAGACAGGGAGGTGGAGGGTCGACTCGTCGCTGCGCATCTACATCGATGTGGTTCAAGCCTCTCAGGTCGGCACGGCCCTGCGGGCGGCAGGACTTCAGCCCGCCCTAGACTGGGCCACGCGCCGGTGGTTCGACCAGGTCCGCACAGGCCTTGATGCTGCCAGCACCGGGCACGCCCAGACCAGCAGGACGCGGCGGCCGCGGGCGGCCCCGCGGGGCAGCGGGGACGCCGCCCACGCCGGGCTCGGCGGCCAGCTGGGGCTTTGTCCCCAGCTTGCCGGGCACGCCAGCTACGCCAGCGCCGGGCACGCCCATGACCAGCAGGGTGGACACGCCTCCGCCGCTGGGCCCGTTCGAGATCCCGCCGGCACCGCCCTGGACGAGCCCAGCGCCTCCACCGCGGGTCAAGGCCCCGCCGGGGGCCCGGGCTGCCGCATCGCCTAACCAGAAGAAGGGCCTCATCATGGGCATGATGAAGCGGCTGCCGACGGGCTCGGCCTTTTTCAGGGTGTTGCTGGCGATCCTCTTCTTCAGCGCCTTCCCCGCGTGCTTGTTCCCGAACACTTCGCGCAGCCTGATCGTCTTGACGGATGTGGCTGAGGAGGTGGGCACCGCGGGCGGGCGCATCATCGCGGCGGCTGCCAGCGTCAGCACCAGTGCAGCTAAATTTGTTACGGCAGTAACAGACGGTTCCATCGGCGTGGTCGAAGCTGCGTGGAGGGGAGTCGACCTTTTGGACGTGGAGGCCCACGGGAGTTCCGGGCGTCTTTTCGTCGAGGTCGAGGACAGCTGGGAAGAATTTCTCGCCGAGCCGGAGGTTCAGCACGTCCTGAGGCTGGAGCCGGACACGACGTCTGAGCTCGAGCGCCTCCTCCTTCTGTCCTCCGCACGCCGCCCCATAGGCGAATTCACCCACGCAGTTTTTCGTTCGCCTCAGCTTTACTCTCTTGTGAGCTTCTGGGTCCGCTGGTTTCCATGCGGACACGTCGGGATCGCCTGGGGGGTGGTCTCGGTCTATTTCCGGCCCCAGTGGGCGAATCCGTCTTGGGCCCTCCTCGGAATCAACGAGACCGCCGAGGCTCCCAGCATGGCCGAGCGACTGCAGTCGCTCGCCGTCGATAGCTTCCCTGCGCCTGACCTCGAGCCAGGACCGGATGCTCTGGTCGGCGCCCCGACCCTCCCCAATGGGCTTCCTCGCAGGCTGCTCCGCCGCGCCGCGCGCGGGCTCTTGTGGCTCCGGCGCAGCCTGCAGACAGCCTTCCAGTGGGCCGGCAAGGTCTTTCCAGCACAGGGCCGCAGTGCGGGAGCGGGCGACGGCAACCGGTACGCAAATATCTCTGCCCTGACCAACTTTGGACCGCTCGCGGAGGCGGGTGGTGGTGAGCGTGCATGAGCCAGATCAGTTGCAGAGCCTTTGCCAAAATCCAGTTTGCAAGCAGTTGAGTATCTCTTTTGAAGGCACAGAGACGCACATCGTGAAGAGTGTTGCGAAACACTTGAGCCTGGCTGAAAAAACACAAAGCGCATCATCGTCAGGGTTGGGCCCAACTTTAGTGCAGAAATGAGTTAATGAGATTTTGAATGGTAGTTTTCGGTTTGCACGTTGGGCGTTTGGGTGGGTGTGATATAGTATTCGCCCGACGGGCCTCGGGAAAGCTCAGGGTGAACACCACGCCACGAGCTCGTATGCCGTCGCATATGGGCTCAAGCACGCACCCTCCCTTTCTGTGCAGCCGGAGGCCTGACTTTTATATCTCTTCACTGGTGGTGGTGAGCGTGCATGAGCCAGATCAGTTGCAGAGCCTTTGCCAAAATCCAGATTGCAAGCAGTTGAGTATCTCTTTTGAAGGCACAGAGACACACATCGTGAAGAGTGTTGCGAAACACTTGAGCCTGGCTGAAAAAGCACAAAGCGCATCATCGTCAGGGTTGGGCCCAACTTTAGTGCAGAAGCGATGATTTCTGTCGCTCGGGGCCCTCTTGGGAGGCCTCTTGGGAGGCCTCTTCGGGCGTCTTGGACGCCTCTTGGGCCGCCTGGGGCGAATCTTGGGCGTCTTGGGCCCATCTTTAAGCGTGCCGGGGCTCTCCGGGGCCGTCTTGGGGGCTTCTGGGGGCCCTCCCGACATGTCCTGGAGCCTGCCTGGGCGGCCCGGGGCGGCCCGGGGCCAGCCCGGGGCGGTTTTGAGACATTGGAGCCTGCGCCCTTCTGACACGCACTGGGCCCTGCAATGTAGTAGAGACTAGGGCTGACCCGTGGACTCCGTCCACGACATCTTTCTGGAATGGTTCTCGGAGGAACGGCGCAGATTGCACCGAAAATCTACAAACACGGCGGCGGCTCGGGCGGCGGCAGCGAGACCGCGCCTTCGTGTCCGAGCTCTTGCAGCGCTGCAGCAGCTTGGCCCAGCGCACTGCTCGTTCACCCCCCTCCTATTGAGGACAGTTTCGAAGTCTCTCGGGGATGTGCGTCGAAGTCGAAGCCATCTGAGGCGTCTCAGGAGCGCTCGGGGAAGGGCTCGGGAGGCCATCGGGGAAAGCCACCGAAAGCGCCGGGGAGGCTCGCAAGGATCTACAGGGAGGGCCCAAGAGAGCTTCAAGAAAATTTGAAATCCAGTGAACTCTTAAGAGAAACCGCTGTTGGGTCGGCCATCACCTCCGGGCGCGCCTTGATGGTGCGATCCAGTCGCATCACCGCCAACGGAAGGGTTTGTTCGCCATGTCCCTTTCTGCTCGCCCAGAGGGTCTGTGGAGGCCTTCGGGCGAACAAAACGGGACAGGGCAAGGAATGGGGAAGACGTGTCCGAATCTCCTGGGCCCCCCAGATGCTCGTCCGAAGAATGCGGAGAGGTCCCAGGGTCATATCAATTAGCTGCTGTCCCAGGGGTCCGGTCTGCTTGGCCCGAAGAGTTTGCCAAGGCCCCTGGGGGAACAGAATGGCACAGCATATCGGGCAAAGGGGGGCGGTAGCTGGCCTGTCAGACCCGGCGTTCGTCTTCTGCCCAAGCGGCGCGGGGCCCACGGGCCCCAGGGTTGGCGTCCCGCTGGGATTCCTCTTGTTCGCCCACAGGGTTGGAGGAGGCCTCCAGGCGAACAGAATGGGGCAGGACAATGAATGTGGGAGACTTGTCGCAAGCTCCCAGCCCCCCCAAGTGTGCGCCCGAAGGGTGTGGGGCCGCGTTGGCTCCCTCAAAGGGCCGTCTTGGAGCCGTCTAGGCCCGTCTTGAGGGCGCCGTTTGCCCTGATGGGGCCGTCTTGGTTCGTCGTGGGCCCCTCATGGGCGCGTCCGTAGGCCGTCCTGGGCCCATCGGGGTCCTCGTGGGGCTGTCTTGGAGCCGTCTGGGACCGTGAGGAGGCCGCCTTGGAGTCGTCTTGGGCCCCTCCTGTGCGCCTCCTTGGGCCGTCCTGGGCCCAGCAGGGGCCGTGTTGGCACCCTCTTGGGGCTGTCTTGGAGCCGTCTTGAGCCGTCGCAGCGCGCCTTGGGTTGTGCTGGGTCTGTCTTGGCCCGTCTTGGGGCCTTCCTGGGCGGTTCCTCGGACCCTCCTGGGACTTTCTGGGGCCTCTTGGTGCATCGGACCGCCGAAACGGCGGGAAACGCAAAGGGTGGAACAGTAAACAATGGAAAATTAACGATTTTTGCCAGCTGGGACTCTCTTGCCATCTTGGCCCGTCTTGAGACCCCGAACGGGCGCGTCCTTGGGCCGTCCTGGGCGCACCCTCCTGGGACCGTCTTGGAATCGTCTTGGGCCGTCTTGAGCGCGCCTTGGGCCGTCCTGGGCCGGTCTGGGGCCCCCTCGCGGCGAGGAAGCTCGGAGGCGGGCTCGAGGCCTCTTCGGGGCCATTTTGGAAGCTGTTGGGGCCTCTGTAGGGGCCTCGTTTGGGCTCCTTGGGAGCCTCCTGGGGCCTCTTGGGGGGATTTTTGGCGGCCTCTTGGGGCCTCTTGGGGGCCTCCTGGCGCCCTCTTGGGGCGGAAGGCTCGGATTTTCGGTCCGTGGTCCCCCTCTTGGCCCCCTCTTGGGCCTGTCTTCGGGCCCTCGTGGGCCGTCTTGAGCGTCACTTGGGTCGTCTTGGGGCCCTCTTGGGCTGTCTTGGGGCGTTCTTGGAAACCTCTTGGGCCGTTCTGGGGCGCTCTTGGAGGCCTCTTGGGCCGTCTTCGAGCGTCGGAAAGCGGGAAAGGCGAGAAGGCCAAAATCCTTCCAAAACCGTCGTAAAGCTGACGATTT